ACCAATTAAGGATCCCTAATAAGTCCCCATTAAAGCTGCTGTATTTTATTAAATTTTAAGACGTTTTATATTTACTATGTGTTCTTGCTGTGGTTGTTTGAGTTTGCACCAAGCAAAATGTCATTATATGTGTGCAATGACAATAAAGGCTATTCTATTCTATTCTATTCTATTCTATTCTATTCTTTGCTGAGCCATGGGTTGCATTGTACTGTCAGAGTGATGAGAGCTGGTAGGACCTGGCTAGTGGTAACTTACTGCTTATTCCACAGCCCCTGCTTTCTGTCCCATGCTCTGGCCCCCCCAAACAACCCTGTACTGGATAAGCGTCTGGAAGATGGATGGATGGATTAATTACATTTCCCATAACCCCGTTAAGCCAAGTGTGCCTGTAATTTAACAACAGCATTGTGAAACACTTCAGAAACATGCTGAGATTGGAAAATGCCAGAACGGACTATGTAGATGATATACTGAAACTGCTGGAACCTGGTTCGCAGGAAAGGGCTCCTTTTATATATAATTGATGAGGCACAATCAAATGCCTCTTAGCAGCAATAAATTACTTTCAGGCTAAAAATGACTAACATATGCTTCTGTGTTACAGAAGAGTAGCCTTCCTCGGCTCTTCTCTAAAGATAAAAAACATATATATAGGAAATAATCTGTGGCTAAACAGACCTCAGATATTTTTCAACTCCAAGATAGCCACCTTGTGTGTGCGCATCTACGTGATTTTTCTGGAACCTTAAGCATTCTATTGTATCACCCACGTCACAGAAGACACTCTTTCAGGAAATACGATGGCACTCGTGCAGGGTTACAGGACAGGGAGGGGACTTTTGTTGTTGACCTTGAGAGTGACATATTGATCATCCATTGCTCCTTCATACAGAATGAAGTTGAAACCAGTCCTACTGAATCATTGATAGCCGTGCAGTTTCTGTCTCACTTCCACACACACACACATTCTCACACAAGTGAAATGTAAGAACAAGCAGGTACATATAAGAATGCAGACACACAGACACACACACAGACCTATAATCATATCTTTGTGGGGACCATGCATTCATTTCTATGGGAAAAATGCTAATGCTAACTATGACAGCCTTAACCCCTACCTAGCCCTAACCATAAGTAACTGAACAAAATACATTTTTAGCTTTTTGATTGCAGTCACGGATTTTTAGAAAGTGATCCATCACGTTGTGGGGACATTTGGTCCCCACAAGGTAAGGTACATCTGGACCACACACACACAAAATACACCAACGTAGCCTGTTCGCCAGAAAACCCGACACACAAATTTGCACAAAAAACAACTGCCCAAATCTCATATACAAAGACGGTGAGACCAGCCCTTCTCCTTAACCAGGGTGTGACACCTCATCCGTCTCCATCTCCGCCTCAGCGAGTTTCATTTACCGTTCGAAGCCCCTCGATGGCCCTCGGCCGTCATGCCTTATTTATACCGCCAGCCCGCGCGATGCCGTACGGCCTGTATGAATAATGCAGCCCGGGATGGCGTTTACAGGAAGGCGGTGGCATGTATGCCTTCTCGGGTCTCGCCTTGCCAGCTTGCCGTAACTCCACCAGCCCACGCGTGTGTCTCATGCTGGACGATCTAAGCAAATCGTTGGTGTGAGGGTGGGCGACAAGGCCGCCCTTTTGCGAGAGACATTGCTTATTGAAATCCGCGGCTGCGGCGCTGGCCTTCCGGCATTCGGGAGTCCTACAGTGAGGACGACCGGGTGAGGACAGCGTGCCGTCGGATAGGCCGGAGGCGTCGTGCTTCCTTGGGCTAACAGAAGGGAGGGAGCGGAATAAACGCTACGGCTCAAGGTGAAAATTCCCGGGCAGCGCTGAAATCCTACCCAGATGGTTCCTCCCAGCCCCAACAGCGGGACTCCGTGGCCCTAACTGCATCGAGGAGAGCGGCTGATAGAGCCGCTAAGTGCTCTGTGAAGAGCCAGGCGCCTCTGTGGAATCTCATCCTCTGCTTCCTCTTTTCACACCAGCCTGCCCAGGGAGCATCAATCAATCAGCCCAAAATTAGAGGCTGCACTCTCTGAGATCTTCCCTCCTCACTGTTTGAGCAAGAGCAACCCTAACAGCATATCTCTTTTCTTTGCCTCTGCCAAATACTATTAACTTTACAGATCGAAAATGACCGCTCTCAAAGACGCTATATACATATGCATATGTGATTTTTTTTTTATTTATAAACTTTTGGAAACATTCTTCCTTTACATCATAGGTAGGTCTACTGATAGCTCCTAGAATTCTGTGACCACATGGAGACACGTTTCAACTACAGATGTTTGAAACTTAGGCCAGATATTATTATGAGCAAAAATAATTGTAACCTCGCCGTGCTGACTGGTGTGACTCAATCTATCCTTACTGTGATGCATCAATAAAATTAAAAGCAGAAACATTCTGTAGACTTGGTTTTCTATTAAGAATGTACTGACACACATTTGCAAATATAAGAGATTTAAAATGGCTTAAAATGACTCGAATACGGTAAACTTAAATGATATAATCTATAACTGAGGACACTTTGACAATATTATTTGCATATAAAATAATCAGCAGTTTCAATCCCATAGATCAGAATGAAAGCAAAATGTATTTTATCTAAAATGAAAAAGCCAAGTATTAAAACTCATAGAGTCTATGTTGTTAGACGCAGAGGTAGAAACACTGCGGTAAAGTAAACAATCGCTTCAGCCTTTACTAAAATGAAAGGAAATTTAAAAAAAAAAACTTTGGCTGAGCTGTTTACAAAATAACATATGACTTCCCCACTTTGACCCTCACAGTATGTGTCCTTGAAGGGTCAGTCCTGGGACCTCTCATTTTCTCATTATCTACCCTTACACTGGGACCATTCATCACCCCCTCCGGCTTTTGCTGCTACCTCTGTGTCAGCCATATTCAAAATTTACTTTACGCTACACCCTGAAGCGGCATCCTCATAAATGGGATGTCCAGCACCTCCCTAAGTTCCCCCCCACTCGTTATTGACCACCCCTTCTCTACGACTGCTGACGATGGAAGTATCTCCCTTTCAGAATCCCTGGTGTCGCTTTTAATTAAAGCCTTTGCTTGTCCAAAGACACAGCTTCTGAGTCCACCCTCATCCCAGCAGCGACAGTGTCAGACCTGTCCTCCATACCCGCCTCCAGTGCAGTCTAGGTCTCCGCTTCCGCCTGGCCCCTGCATCTGGCTACTTGCCCTGTGCTTTCCGCCCCCCCTTTCACACAGACACCATGCACTGGCTTCACATCACCACCTGAATCCAGTTAAATCCCTTGAATTTCCCAGTATGCTCCCCACAACTGTGTGCCCACCTGCCATGGCTGTTTGGTCTCCCGATACGCCTCCCAACTTGACCCCCCCCCCCCACATCCTGCATCCTTTGCTCCTGGGATGTTTGCTCTCCTGCGTGGCTCCTCTCTCTGCACACCATCTGCTTGCCTGTACCCTTCATCACCCCTAATCGTGGAACCTGTCCCATCCCCACCTCACTGCCAGAGTCAGGACGGCACCGTCAATCACCACCGGCCATGTGAAACGTATCATTCGACTAAATCACCACGTGTCCGTAAACCACGAGTGTCCAATCTCTGACCGCAGCATTTGTTGTTTGGTTACATGTAATTAACTTTAGTTCAGCTACAGCGGATTAAATTAAAGGAGAAATTTTAAGAGACACATGCACCTTTAATTACATTCCATTTCATTTGCCTGCAGTAGACACATAACTGTATCAAAATATCGACACATACCCGACAACCACACACTGCATCTAGTCGACCAACGAGTAACAACCAACCGACCAATGCACACATTCACTGAGCTTTTCCAACAATGCAAAGCCTGTACTTCCTTTCTGCAAAAATATGAAATGAAAATTACAGTTAAAGGTTCTGGGCATTATTTATGTTGTTAGGGTACTATTTATATTATGTTTTGTTCCTGTTACAAAAAAAGCCTTAGCATTCAATAAATCTGGCCCTCCAGAGTAACAAAAGGCCTTTGTAACCGTCCTCAATCACTCATCCACACACTTCCTACCAAATTACAGTATATGGAACTGCACTGTATTATAACCTATACCATGGTCTATTTGCTTTTAGTGCACTTCCTGTCTGACATTCCTATCTTATGACAAGTGTTTAATTATCACATGCCAGGTTATGGACTTTCGCTTCAATTTCTACCCAATTTTTCTCCTAATTTGCTCACTGTGCAAAAATGCTTTGATGTCACACATGAGCTCCGGAGCTCACCATTTGTAATTTAAAAATGCTGTACAGTACCAAGTACTGGTCATGTTCCCCGTTACACCCTGTTAAACAATAAAGGAGCCTGACAAACTCCACAACCCATACCATTCTGCAACCTGCACAGCCACAAACGGGGTCTTCAACACAGCAAAGTGGAGTGTTTATGTGCATTTGTGGGGAATTTGAGACTCCAACGCCAAAAATGCATCAATAATCTGTTAGTACACATGGTGTTAAAGACAAACAGACAAAAAGCAGAAATTCTGAATGGTGCACACTTAATCCAAGAAGAAGAGGGTAGAAGCAACATATGTTAGGCCTCCATCGATCTACGTTACTTCCAACCACGGAGATATGTTAAGGGTGCATAGGATTAGCCTACATCCTATTATAGACAGCAAGTCTCAGAGCCCGAAAGCACACTCATATGTAACAAGCACAGTAATTTCTCTTATATTTGTAAATTCAAATAAGATTCATCAGATGTTCAACGAAGGAATCAGTCAAATTATTTCTTTTCAGCATTTCCCCAAACAGCTTATACGTTAATAAGTGTAATTATTTCTGTATTTTATTCTCTATGACTGTCCCCAATGGCTGCAGCACGGCTAATAAATGTAGTCTTCGTGTAACATCACAACAAAAAGCACATTATAATCAAACTGGCCAGCATTCTGAATGGATAGAGCAGCAGAAGCTTACCTTTAATTCCAAATTTTGAGTTTCTCCCAAACTTGAGAAGAACCAGCATGAGGATAAATCCAGTGAAAGCCACAGCAGCGATTCCAACCACCACATACACCTGGTGTGTGGAAAGAGACCTTCAGGCTGCTGTTACGGACCTTCGTCTCACAGCCACGTTTACGCTGGGACTCACAGGCAAATAGATAAACAAGTTTCAACAATGGTCCTCAAATAAGATTTACATAACCAACATATCAGTGAAATCCAGTACGGCATCCAAAGAAGCATTCATAGCCAACATACTTAAATCCAAAAGGAGAAATTGTGCATAACAAACACATTCTTCTTTTAGATATATACAGTTCACATAATACAACTGATTCATTATGTAACAAGAACAAAAAATTGCTTAACTCTAAGTAGTGGTTTTTCATCATTTCTGTATTCATTGTTTAGGTAAAACAATCACCATCAAGCACCTTAGCCACACAAAATGTGACTAATGACTACAATAATCAGAATAGAAATTTAAGGTCCAAAAAGTGAGGACAGCCCACTTAGGCAATGCTCACAATGACATCTTCATTTTATTTGACTTCCATCTCATGACACCGAAGTGTATTCATTACACTTATTATTATAAATTCAATATCTGCCTATTTGGACCGGTGCATTGTGGGAAACCACGGAACCAGCTCTTCCTCCCCCCACCAATCATAGCCTGTAAAGAACCCCAGCGTAAGGTCAGGGTTTCAGGGTGACCTGCCCAGATCACATTGCTGCCATAAAGGATAAAATTTAATATTAAAAAACACTGAAAGCATCACTTACGGCAACACTGTCTTTGCTTCCTGGTTCTATTGGGGGATCTTCTATTGTCGGGAAGGAAAAACGAAAAGAAAGGAAGATGCACAAGCGTGAGTGACTTTCTCAGTTTTGGAACGAGACTCTTCTTCCAAGCTTCTGGTAATTTCATTTAATCTGATCCCTCTGAGGCAGATACAGATTACTCCATAGATATAAAAAAACACCAGATCATATGAATGGACAATGTGACTTTCATATACAGTGTATAAGATTTGTCTTGCTCCTCTATAAATGAGTTATTGTTTATATTTCTATAAAGTAAGGTAAATGTACAGTACTCTACAGTGTCCATACAAAGCAAAGCACTTTGAATTGCCTGCAATAATAGTTCTTTCCTTAGTAATATGTTACTGTTGTGTTTGGATGCTTAGCTGACGAGTAACTGGCGATGGTTCTCATTTGTATGATGAATGTGTTATGGAAGAAATTCACGCAGAGTAACACCCCTAAGGGCTCTTCTGAAGTTCATTGGACTTGAACCTGCGACATTCACGACAATAGACCCATTCATCTCACCCACACCCCTTTCTTTCTTCAGCTATCATTTACTGATCATTGTCATTCACTCCACATGCAGGATTACCGTCGATTAGAGAGGATGTCATATTCATGATCAGGCACTGAATTAGGTGAAACACAGGATGGGGAGGAGGCACAGAGGACACAAACGCCTACCTGTGGTCGAGTCTGTGACATATTCCACAGCAGCAGGCGGGAGAAAAGACAAAATACAAAACAGGAAAGTTAATTAGCATCAGATGGAGGAGCTGTGAAGCTGCTTATCTGTGGGAGCATTAAATGTAAGGCCTGTTTGCAGACTGTTCAGCAGCAGTAGTAATATTTTGATGTGGAGGCCCTCCCAACGCTCTCCTTTCTTCAAACAATTAACTCCCTTTAAATCAATATCAATCACCAGGCCGCAAAGCCAGCCGAAGCTGTCCCTGACAAACTGATGTCTGCACATCGGCCCACCGAGCTGAGCACTCAGAAGACCACCCACTGCAAAAAACCAGGTAAGAAGAATATATGGTGCTTAATGCATTATTTATTACATGAAGGATGACCGTCAGAGCGGGACCATCAGTGACCCCCATCCCTGCAGGTAATCAGAACCTTTTACATACTACGGTCCTAAGAAAACGCGAAACAAAGAAAAACTCACTGTCTGACTGGTTTTAACATGACAGACAGCATGCAAGCCTCTAACAGGTTATACATATTTTTCTTTTGTGGGTTTATACCCCAAAACTAAATATAGTGATGTAGTTATACTCACCATAGTAGATAGGCTCAGTCATCACTCCTAGATATTAAAAGAGCTTATTTAATAAATAATGTTCTTTCTGAATACGGATTAAAACTGAAATACTACAGCACATCATGCAGAGTGAAGGCCAATCTCCGGCTGTCCCGCTGACAGGAACACTCACCATCCCAAGGTTTGCGCATAAAGTGAGCATCAATGGACTTCTGGTCTCTGCCAAACTTGTTGACGGCCACCAGCGTGTACTGGCCGTTGTTGAGGTGCGTGGGGTTGTCGAGCTGAAGGCAGCCGTGGTACTCGCTCTCGGAGAAGTCGTAGATCATGGTCTGGATGTAGTTGTCCTCGGCAATCACTTCACCGTTGAACAGCCACTGCAGTGTCGGCGTGGGATTCCCAGCCACGCTGAACGGGATGCACCAGTGGTGATCCGAAACTGCATCCAGGAGTTTGGTGATCTCCGGAGCAACTGAGGTAGAGGATGTCCGCCGAGAGGTCAGGGTGGTGGTCGTGGTGGGGGGGTGGAGTGTGAGGGGACCCAAAAATTATTACATGTTCTATTTTCACTAAAAACTCACTGTATAATCTGCTGAATAAGTATGAAAACTCTAAGGCCCATTTCACACACTTAAAATGGACTGTACCACTTAAAAAAATACAAATTGATAATTAGTCTTTGATGGTATAAAACATATAATATAAATAGACCTTGTCCATCAGCTAATTTGGCACCTTTCATGTGATGTTCATGAATTTGCAAATTGGTTTGTATATTTTTAATCATAACCCTAACATCATATACAGTATAGTAACAAAATAATTATCTATATAGCTAAAATTATTTAGAATACTTATCTAAGCTTGGTTACTTATGTATTTTTGTAATTAACTATGCAGTTGTTTTGACAATAAAGTTACAGTACCCTACTGATTAGCAAAACATGTTAGCTAGCTAGGTGGTGTATCATGAACAATAAAAGCATTTTCTCTGTTTGAGTATTCAGAAATTATATTTCAGAAGACAGCACCTTAAATTTAAATTTAGTCGAATTTGTATAAGCTGGTGAAAATACCAGTCAGTGAGTAGTCTGTTGTGTAAATGTTTTAAGATTTTTTTTTTATTATTTTTACTAGTATAAAAACGAATGAAACGAGGTTAGTAGGTCAACTTTAGAATAGTCTGACATCAAGTTAATTAAGAGTTTTGTTTTATTGTTACTTTCTAAGACATTTTTTACTCTACAAAAATATGATTACACACTTACAGTACTACCAAAGAATGTACCATGTTTGTATGTAACTTAGGCAATGTATGTTTTTCCCATATGGACTATAAAATATTAAAATACATAATATAATAATATATTATAATTTCTGCTTTACAAAAGTGACTAAAGGTGCTATGTGATTACAGGGGTATATACTGAAAGAAATTTATTCAAGTATTTCCGTAATACCGCTGACACAGTAAGCTAATAAAAGCAACTATTTCACATATTTCAGGTTTACGTGCATTTGTCTGACAGATGGTTTTGGTCGGGGCTGCGCACCGCATTAACACTCACAGAGAATGTCGAGCACGACGGAGGATTCGTTCTCGCCGACGTCGTTCTCGACGTTGCACGTGATCTTACAGCCATTGTCGACGGAGGAGAGGTTAGAAAGGCGGACCTCCGATCGCTGCCCGAAGTTCCTCACCTGCGGGGAAACATATACGTAAGTTTTCGACTAAAAAACACATTATGTATTATTAAATAAGTTAAATGCAATACTTTTTTATGGAATATACACAGATGCTATTTGTGTGTCCGGTCCGCAAGACGGCAATTAAAGGGAACTGAAAACGTTAAAATAGTTATTTTTTATTATTATTACAAAACTTTGGGATAACACTTGATAAGAAGACACGAATTCCTATATAAGAACGAAAAACACCAAAGGAACGTTTAAATAAATAATCTGCGGTCGCGTATTTTTTCTGTTATGAGCGTTGATAAGGGTTTAGGTCAGTCGTCTTGCCTTTTTGGCGGAGACCAAGGTGCTGAAATTCCAAGTACGTTCAAGAGGGGGCGCTCCTGAGGCGCTGCACTCCAGCACAACATCGGCGCCCTGGATCACTGTTATGTTAGAAGGGGTCAGTGTTGCCACAGGAGGGACTGTGTAAAAAAAAAACAAAAAGGTGGGTAATGTTAAAATGGGAAGCAATCGACATACATCATACTGCTGGCACAAAACTTTGTTATGTATATAAAAGTAATAATGCAACACCTCAGATTTAATTTGAAAAACTAAACACTAAAAACTCCCCCTACTCAGATTCACATAAAGAGCTGTTTTACGGTCTTTGCAAACATACTTATTGGAAACAAGTTTTTTGATTCAGCTTGATTCAGAAACACAGAGTTCTGATCATTTATGAGGCCCATTTACACATTTTCAATTCTGTTCAATAACTTTTTAATGTTAAATAAATATTACAGGTAATTTGCAATTTTCAGATATCATTAACCAGAGCAACTTATGCAGAGACTTGTCAACACCACTGATGTTGATCACATTAGTATTAAACGGAAAAGCACAGTCATTTGGTGGAGACTGTCTATCTTAACCCTCAGACCTTCTGGTCAAATATCAATGTATGTGACCCGCATCATGCTAAACAACAAAATGTACCACTGCCAATCCAAACAGTAATTTCTATAAATATGGAAAGTTACAGTCCATCCATCTTCCAACTGTACATGGTTGTGGGGCATCTCAGGCAGCAGACGGCAGGGGTGGGATGCCAATCTATTGCAGGGCACACACACACACATGCACATACACACACACACCTAAACCCCTACTCAGCCCTAACCTTAACCATAAGTAACCAAACAAAATACACACATACTGTCTGCGTGTATGTATGTGGAGGTTATAAACCCACACACACACACATATAATTTAGAGACACAAATTCACCTTACTGCATGTCTTCCCACTGCAGGAGAAAATCAGATGATTATGAAGAATCCTGCACAACGCATGAAGGACATACAGACTCCATATGCACAGATAAGGGTGGGATTCACACCCACAACCTTGCAGCATGAGCCACCGTGTCACTTAGGAAGGTCTTAACAAAACTCATTCCGTTTACCAAGCTGAGTATGTTTTCAGATTTTGTTCTTTTCGTTACCTCACCCCAGTCACATATATTACTGATGGATTCTGCACACAAGTGAACGCAGCATAACTTTAAATAACCAAAGCGAACGTCTGAGAAGTCATCAGGCAGCCTTAGCACAAAAACCACTTTTCCATCTTTCAGATCTGACTTGCAGTTGTCTTTCTGGGGTTCATCCATAGCAGGAACACCATTTACTGCATAGACTGCTTCAGTATTACCTTACAATATACACAGTGGAAAGTGTCATTACCAACTCTCATGACACCTCCAATGAACCTTTTCCAGCATGAAGAGCTTCCATATAACCTTTTACAGCATTAAGAAATTCAGTATCAAATTTCCACAACTGTGTCCCACAGAATGATGCATCAGAGCATCAGCATTCACTGGGAGAGCATTACGCTCCAACAGCACAAAACACAGAGGACCTACAGTAGAGTTTCTGAAGCTGTGGGCTCACAATGTAACTTCACCTCCTAAATACACAGCTTCTTTTTTCATAGACATTCCTATAAGCAGCTAGTTTCCAGAAGGACATCTTATGCACACTCCGCTCACAGAAACAAACCCTGGTGCTGCTTCTTTCCCCTGCATTACTGATCAGTACTTACATGTGTTAGCATGCAGTGCTATAAGCGGTGCTTATAGGGGATAAGGCCTAGACAGAGACGTATCACTGGCCACATCAACAACATGCTGGAACGAAACATTCTGCGATCTCTTTTTATTAGTCAGCCACTGATTTCCAGTGCTGATGATAAAGGTATTGACCTGGTCTCTGATGCTGGCTAAAAAAGTTGATGGCTACAAACTAGATTAAAATATCAGATAAATAAATAAAAGGTGCAGGTTTTATTCCTCGTGTCTTGCGATCACTGGAGCAACGAGGACTGTAGAATATAATATAGATGTTGTTGTGCTGTGGTGATGATAACAATGGGCTATAAAAAAAAAGCATCATAATAAATACATGTCCAATCAGAAATGAATTCAAAGTGTAAATGGCATCTAACAATCGAAAATGAGCGTGAATCATTCCTTTTTAAAGTGCTTTGTTATTTTACAGATATGTTCTTCCATTTCGCTTTGCAGTTCCACGGCGAACGGCACGACACTGTACTCTGAAACTTGCTCTCCATCTGTTACATGATAGCTTTTAGGATCGACAACTGACTGATTGGGGAAATCAGGACATAATCTGCAATCTAATGCTAGGACTGCTAGCCCTTGGGGAAAAAAAAAAACATTGTGGTGATTTTTGTGATCTGAACACCCTTTAATGCTTTTTTCTGTAGAAAGTAACTCCACTTTTCTGCTGTTTACCAGGCACCAAACAGAACATAGGATTTCACTCCACCTCAGCTCATTATGGCTTTTCTTAGTTAATTATGGGCAGTAGCTCATCTCACTTGCTGTTTCATGTAAAATCATATGATACGTAAAATGAGTTCCAAAGACCTACAGAATTGTGGTCCTCAGAAAGGGGTATGCAGTGGGGGGGGGGGGGGGGCACACAAACTGTAGTGCTCTGCCCCCCGTTCTGCTCTAAGCATCTTCCCCCTTCTTCTGGTCTGCTTCGAGGGGGGGGGGGGGACACGAAGCTCACCACAGCCAGGTGGGGAGAGCTGGGAGAGGGGCCTCTCTCGACCGCTGTCCTCCACACAGCGCAGCTCCTGGCTGTCGGCCTCGTCCCCCAACCAGAGTCGGATCCACATGTTCTCACAGGAACAGCGGAGCCGGTTCCCAGACAGGATTCTGGGATAGAGAGTTCTGATATTAACACACCGTCACTGATACTTACCTACATACACATGCACACATGCATAAAACCCCAGGGGACACAGAGCCATGAGGGTGTGCACATCTCAAAATCAGGAGACAGACGAGTGACCTGCCTTATATATATATGAAGCCTACTATAAGCCCAGAGGCAATAAGAACTGAAAATACAGACTGAAAGCAACAGGCTTGTATCATTAATTAAATTTTTGCTTTCTCACAGACTGCAGTCAGTGCCTATTTGGTTTGTATTACATGCCATTGTATTACAGTACATGATTTTGAATAATGGAACAACATGTGCTTCTTTACCTACACAAACACATTTACTTAAGCCTGTCTACTTAAGCCTGTGCCTTTACAGACATATTAGTATGACAATAACACACGTAATAAATGTTTGGACAGAGAAACTTACAGGTACGATAGGTTTAAGTGGCGAAAAACCTTCCAGGACAATGTAGACAGTTTGTTATCTTTAAGGTTCCTAGAAGTCGAACGATGAGAAATTACATTACTGTGTTACAATGCAAGGCCAAACTAGACTGTGTTCAATATCCATCACTACTTGATCCATAAACTGGGTGAAAGATTCACACGGATCACATTTTATATGACATTCACCCATTTGGGTCAGTGGTCCACTTATTAAGTATCTCTTGTACCATTCAGAAAACAAAAACAAACATTACCATATATGATTGGTAAAAATTCAAAATAAGATACAGGTATAATTTCACTCATGACCACAAAGACGCAAGTATTTGGCTCTAAAAACTTACAGATATTGCAGTCTGGCATTGCTCAGAAAGGCTTGGCGGGATATGTTAGTCAAGCTAGTATTTGTCACAGTTCTGTTTGGGGAAAAACAGTTTAAAATAATTGCTTACTAAAATATCTGTACAGTCAACTGAATTATTAATTTAAATTCATTCATTTAGTCATATTCAATCACAACACTCATTTTACTTACAAATTTCTGAGGTTCCTATACATTTTCAAGTCCATGTCGTTGATGGATTCCAATTTACTTTGATTTGCAATATATCTGTAAGAAGTAAAATGAGTCAGACATTCTGAGTCATAAAATAAAGAAGCATGATTGTTATTAATATTGTTCTTTCAATTCAAACTAACTCGGTTTTATGATTGTTCTTTAAAAAAATAAAATACAATAATTTTTTTTTAGTTAATGCCCAAAATATTTAGTACTACAATATTCACACTGAAGGAAACGTATTTGTCTTCATAGTTTGAAATATAGGCCTCGTGTAAAATAAAAGCTCATAACCTGTCTATAGTAAGTCAATAGTAAGTAATTTTATATTGGATCCGCTTCGCGTTGGCCATTAGCAGACACGGTAACAAGGCAGGTTCGCGCTGCATTTTATTAAAAAAAAAACGACGTTCCTTTAGTGTCTTTTAGTTTCAGCCATTTGAAAGCAGGTGTTTGCGCCGTTTCGATCGGTTTTCTCCTGTTGTACGTTCTCCTCGCTTTCCCCTAATTATCTTATGGACAAAATAAAGACAACCAACGGTTCGGTTTGACGCGTGAGTCACAGATAAAATCGCGTTTAACCTAATAGTAACCGTTCTTGATACTATTCAAGAATATTTTCTACAACATAACTGTGTTAATTGACAGGATATAATTTGACGATGAACCACACCATCAGTTTTATGTAATCCAAACTGAAGCAAATATATATGACGACACTTTAGACGGTATGCACAACTGAACACGGTTTTTGTGTATTCAGCAAGAGGCAGAAGTATTTATTTGTAAGATTAATAATAATAATAGTGTAATATACTTTGATGGTTATCAGTACATTATCAACAGGCTACTTATATAATGAATTCCGCAGTCTGGTTTCACAGAACAACCAATATCAGACTAGGCCCGTGTCGGCACGTTCATCACTGGGAAAAGGATCGGTTTTACATTAGAACTCACAAATTGTGCCACAGAGCGGGCAACGCTTAATGTCTTCGTTCTCATTATACTTGTCTGTTCAGCCTGCGGGTGACTTTAAGTATCAAATTTATTCCTGCGCCAAAATCACTCCCTGTTCTAACCTGTAAAATGTATTTTACTATATTTCACCTTCACCTTATTCGATATTCTAACCTGTATATCATCCCCTCAGGAGATAAATAACCGTGTCCCCTACATACGATTTTAAAGGCGTCGTATGTGCTTGAAGTGTTATGTGGTAAATGACAGAGATATCTCAACATTTTCCCGATGCTCGATTTATTGCGCACAACGTGTTCTAAACGATTTGGTCCTACCGGCCAGCGCCGTCTGGTTTTAGCATCGATACATTATGGTTTATATTTAGATCTAATTGATTTGTACATGACTTTTAAAATCTCTGGTCCTATAAACCTTAGGGTTATGAATCAATTTAAAAACACATTATTTGCATAAGTAATTCACTGTGCTGTGTAAATTAATTTATAGAATGTTGCAATGGGGTATTAATGCATAAATCCTGATTCTTCTTCATATTGAACAGAGTGAAATAGTACAATCCGAATACTTCATATTAATCTTATATTGAATATATACAAGACATAATCCGTTGTTATTCATATGTAAACTGGACGATTGCGCAAAGATAATATTACGATCGTGTTTGTATGTCTAATAAATGAACGCAGTCGCGTATTGTTTTTGTTTTGGATAAAACTAGCTTTTCGACATCACACTATTTTACAAAAGAAATTGTACCTGGTTTATTTATTGTACTGCGTAAGGCATGTATGCCATATGAATGCAATGTCATTCACCGGTGATCTGTGACAGCTCATTTGCTCTAACATGCATACTCACATTTCGGTAACGTTTTCCATTTCGATATCGTTCTGCAGAACTGGGAAATCCAAGATCCCACGTTCCTGGTCGATGCATGAAATCCTCGAGCTGCTGCATGTGCAGAATGCAGGGCACCCGACGCTGAACCTCCAAAGCCCCAGGAAAACCCAGCAGAACCCCCATTGAGCCATCCAATGCCCCCTCCAGACGGAGATCATCGCGGATCCCTCGATGCCCGATCCAGCTCTGCCTAAATGATCCTAATTCCCCCTGAAATCCCGTCGACGGCCGTATCAAAAACGCAGCCGCAAATGCAAGTGATGAGCCCTTCGGTGAGAGACGAACCACGATCGTCTTGTCCCCCGTCTGCACAGAGAGACAATCATACAGTACCACACTTAAAGACTGTAGTGTGTGACAAGGGTTCCTTCTCTCGCCCTCCCTCTCTCTCGCTCTCTTTCTGTCTCACTCTCTCGATGTCTTCTCTCCCAGAGGAGTACAGGCTGGCTGCTAATTCTGACTGCTGCAAGAAACGTTGCTGTAGCTCTTGCTATGCTGCAGGGCTAGAGTAAAAAAGAGGCAGGCAGAGGCTGAGGAGCCCATCAGAGAGTGCATGGTGATGCAGGCAGCGAGTCAAGTGCGTGTGTGCTGAGGCAGGGGTACCAGTAACCGCTTATCGATCAGTGGCACATATAAGAATATCGTATTTAATAATTGCAGTGATTGCAATGAAATGATTGCTGTTTGGGGTATTAGTTGGCAAACTGCCCTCATTTATCAGCAGTCTTCAATTATGTATATTTAGGGCAAGGTGCGCGGTTATCACACTGATAAGAATAAGATGTGGCGACACACATGCGCGGAGAAATTGGTGAGGAATGATAAAAAAATCATACATGTAGCCTTGACGTACCAATAGCTTCAAAATGAATACATTAAAAAGCCGCAGTATGTGTTTAGATAACGAGGTGACGATTGGACGTCGTTTAGTTTCCCTCGTCCTTTTGAAAGCTTAATTTAAAGCGTTTATAAAAGTGATCATAATAATTATTTAGTTATTTAAATGAACAACATCAACACACGCCTAGACTAATTAAAGTGACAACGTGAATCTGCTCTTCGACACCCACCGGCGCTGCTCTCATTGCCGGAATTGTGCATACCGACCTCGCGGCTCACGGACGCGCATTTCTCGACGCGTCCTGCCTACTACTCCACTACCGACGAGTGACGTGCGTTTTGACGCACTCAGTGAGGCTGAATCCACCAAAACACGATCCGGAAATTTTTCTGCATTCACTTAAAGTGTCTCTTACATAAAAAATATAGGCCTGATTTAGTGGTTGTTGTAGTCGTTTAGCAAATTGCAGGAAATAAAAAACGACCCAAAATAGAAGTCTGAGCAACGCATCAGTACAATTCACACCTTTTCATTACATGGTTCTTAATGCCTGTGTGACCTGCAAACTTATTCTGCAAGCCTAAAACATCCACACATTTCTTGATCGACAACAAATACTCCAAATACGAGTTCATTATTATTTAAGGGGTCTTTCACTTTTTATATTTCAGTTTCAGTAGCGTTTCCAGATGCTAGTTCGTTAATCGACTAAACCACAAGCTATCACTGAGAAAATAAAGCGCCCCTGGCGGTTATAGTGGTAGCGTTTGCCAAAGGGTGAAGAGAATGCATTTTCAGGAAACTGACCGTTTCATTAGTGCCCCTACACAGTACAGAGGAACAGTTGAACAAACACCATTGGAGAAAGACGACTTCTTCCTGACATCTAGTGGTATCATTACAGACCTGCGTTTGTTATATTAATGTACTGCAACTTAAAAGTAGGCCTATATGAGTTCTAGGGACTCTTTTACCAAAACTTTGCATGAATTTGATCGTGAGAAAACCCGACATACGCACATATGCACGCAATTTTCCCTTCATAAATCAGAACTGTCTTGTGAATGTGCGTAGCTTTGCGAGCTTGAGATCCTGCCCAGTTACCACCCACAAATAACCACAAACGGTCAATGCAGATAAACCGCATGCTCATATAATATGCAAATCGAGCCTCTAATTGCGAACTCCGACGATTGCGACAGTAAATAAGAAAAACCAAACAAAAAGGAAGTTTAAACAGTGTGAGATAAGGCACAATAAAAAATGTTATAATAAAAAACATTTATCGAAAGCAAGACAATGTAGAGACGTGCATTTTCCGACTATGTACGTATTTACCATAGGTTTACATGTATATATTGCACAGCTGTTTCTAGCACTTTTACATTGTTTTGCATTTTTGGATTAGATGCAAAACCCCATTGTAGTCTGAGTAATTGTACATTGTGCAATGATAATAAAGTTAAAGATAACAAAGTAGTTTAGAGAATTCCGTCAGCTTTACAAAACGCTCCGAAAAAAGTAGTCGGATCTGAAGATAGAAAGAAAATAGTTTTTGCATTTACCGGGGGCCAACTCATACCATCGCCCTCAAACTTCGGCTTGCGCGTGGCATTTATAATAGGGGATGTCCTATTATGTGGTGCAGCGCCAGCGCAGTCGGGACATACTGCTGTGGCCCGTGAAACTGAAAATCAAAAACCATAAGTTGACCCAGACTATATTTGTGAATGTCACGGCGGCAGTGGCTTTCAGTGAAAATATAGTTTTTCACCACAACGTAGGAAACATACATTTAATTCAAAACGGACAAAGTGCAGACATAATACAAACAGTAAACAACTGCTTTTATTTTATGCAGGTTTTTTTTCCCCCACGTGAAGGCACGTGCATTGCAATGGGTGTCGCCTTTTCCCGATTTATCCAAAATGTTGCGTATACAGCTCTCCGAAGTTTCCGTAAAAAAAAAACCTTGATAAATGAGGTCCTAGGATCATTATATTAGAACTCACATAACGTATGTGTGTGTGTGGATTATGTTTCTGTTACATTGTGGGGTCCAAATGTCCCCCACAATGTGATGAAAACCTGTTATTTTGACATTGTGGGGACCATTTTCCAGGTCCCCACAAAGATCTGTGAATGTAATCAAAAAACTAAAAATGCCAAAAGTCTCATATTATGCTTGGTTACTTATGGTTAAGGTCATCATTTTGGGATCCCGAAGAAATGAATGGAAAGTCCCCACAGATATAATTACAAACCCCTGTCTGTTTGTGTATAAACATTATATTTCATACAAATTATTTAAACACATTTTTTTGCTATTCTAACTTTAGGAATATAGTACCTGCAGTACATAGTACAGAACAAAACAAAGTCTTAGAGTTGCCATTCAACAAGGCAGGGCAGCTGTATGCTGACATCTTGCGGCAATCTGACAAATTAGCTGCAATAGATTAACCATTGCGTACGGATATCTGTGTTGTCAAAAGCATAAGAATTGATTTGTCTAGTGGTGCATTACCATCTGGACATGTTGATATTATGTGTCCCACTCACCATTTCAGCAGGCTAAATACTTTGAGCACAAACAACGACATAATATGCTGTGCGCAACAATCTCCCGTTTAATAAATGTAAACTAGCAGGAGTAAGGGTACATTTTGTTAGATAAAGCAGTATACCTACACTTTCTTATAAAGCATTTAATCGAGCTAGAAAAAAATTGGGATAGCATGGATGAAATTGTCCAAGTAACAGTTCAGATCATCTGCGTATGCAGGGTCCATATCAATTCCAGGGAAGTTATTTTATGCTTGGTAAGTATTTCAACAATGGCAACTTACTGGCAATGAATGAATCACACAGGAAGCATGGGATATTAAATATAGCCACCGCTTGCTACAGAACATCCAAAAAAAACATAACCAAGGTCTGCTGAATAAAGTTTAATGCTAAAACTGTCATGGACCAGGGCGGATTTGGAGCGATGGCAAAGCATGATGCAGGCAGATAGGTGGACGACCCACTGGTGGCTTAAATACTAAGAGGTAACGAGAGTAACACAGGACAGGTGAGACTAATTAACAAGGACTAGTGAAACAGGCAACAGGTGAAATTAATAAACTAAAACATGAAACTCAAACTAGGAAACAGAATCTAACAATGGTAGGGTGACCACATAATCCATGTCATCCCGGACACTTTGAGCTAGGACAGGATTTGCAACCTACCATTTCAATTAAAAGGACCTGGATTTCACTTAAGTACCGAGTTCTTGCTGTGTGCTGATTGGTCAGTCTCCTATAATCATGCACGTGTCACTAATGTTAATGTGAACAGCTGGATGAGTCTTTCAGTCAAAGAAACAAACCTGTCAAAGCACGAGAAGAACTGAACTATTTAACCAAGCACAGGAGCCTTTCGGTTTTAAGGTAGTTTGTAAAACCTGAAGTAGCTCAAGGTGTCCGGGATGACATGGATTATCTGGTCACCCTAAACAATGGGCATAACAGACCAGCAAAAACACAATCAAGGGCACAAGGGCAAAAAAAACCAAAACCGAATACAAATGAAAACACAGGGATTAGAAAACTGATACAATTGAAACACAAGGGGACAAAAACTACAAAAACAGAGGAAGTGGGATTCAAACACAAGACAAAGGGATCTGCAGGCAGCTGCATGGCTCAACACATGTGGCACCTTAGACAAGCCCAGTTACATGTGGATGGCGCTGGACATTTGCTAAGTCGACGCCCCTTCAGAAGAAGGCGCCCTTATGTCGCTCGTAGGTTTGCCTTGCTTGCAATCCGGGATGTTTAATTTAAGCAACATATACACGGCAACAGAGCTGGAGCTTAAACTGGCAATTCAGAGTACTAGTAGCGTACTTAACTATCATACTACAGTTGCTTTCGGTTTTAATCAATGGTGTTACTTAGGATGCTGTACATTTTATGTGATGTGCTTGGATGCAGTATTATTACTTTGGTCAGTCACACTGAGCAGCACCTGCCTTACAGCAGTTGACAGATACATATTTGCTATTGTGCAGCTCACTGGTAAATGCTTGACATGAAGCTCTAAACTTGTGATTGTCTTTCAACCTTTCCCAGTGGTTTTCAGCAATTCCACCTGCTGCATGCTCTGGAAGACCAGCTCTGGGTTGTTATCACTTAAACTGGATGGTCTATGGGGATAATGGATAGTAAATGGATATATATGTTTATTAAAATGTGACACTGTTATTTTTTCATTTCCATGGCCAGTGTGCATGTATTATAATGTGTGGATTTATGCTACATCACCGCTTTCTCCAAGTTTTCAACCAATGACCTCAGGCCTGTCCAAGGCAGCATAAGGCACACAGCAGGGATGCTAGCAGGAGTGGATAGCAGCCCACCACAGAGCCAGCACCGTCACACACTCACATACCAGCTTGTGAAGGGGGGAGAAATTTCTGGTGAATTTCCAGAAAGTTTTCATGAAAATTTTAACATGGGAATTGTGGGAATGTATAATGCACTACCAACTGACGGTGATTTTGGAGATTTTGTAGCTACTTTCAGTTTCCCCAGTAATTCCCATGCAGAGTAATCTCCTCTGAAATTTGCATCCCTACTCACTCACAATGAGCAATTTAGACACATCACTAAACATCTTTAAACCATGGAAGGAAGTTGTTGTATCTGAAGGATACCTGCACAATGTCCAGAATAACTCCACACATACAGGGTAGAGAGGGGATTCAAACCCACAACCCTAGAGGCAACAGTGCTACCCACAGTGCCACCATGTTGTCTCCTTTTATCGCAGATAACACTACTTTCGATATTTAATTGTTAGTAATGAAATTAATTCTATAAGCTCTATATAGAAGCTTGGAGATTAATATTGGGGGTGGGGGTCAAGTGTGAATGGTAATACTGGGTATTACCATTCACACAGATTTGTAATCATATCCTTGTGGGGACTCTCCATTCATTTTCATGGGAAAAACTCTAATCCCAACATGATGACCCTAACCCAAAATACTAGACCTTTGGCATTTTTACTTTTTTGATTGCATTCACAGATCTTTGTGGGGACCTGAAAATGGTCCCCACAATGTGATATAAACCTAATACACACATACACACACACCCTGGTGGTGTGAAGAACATCCTCCATCCATCCATCCATCCATCCATCATCTGCCGCTTGTCCGGGGTTCGGGTCGCGGGGGTAGCAGCTTCAGTAGAGGTGTGAAGAACAGTGCTATTTAATGAGCCAGAGTAATACCCCCCCCCCCTAAAAACATTAGGTCAAATTTGTGGCAAAATCGACTTCGCATCCTGTAAATAACAGTAACTTTGATCCACCACCAGAGGGTACTGCAGCACAGTCTTTCTACCACCCAATACGATCGCAGGTTGTGGACCCCATGCGCAGAAGGGGAAACGGACACACAAGCCCCGGACACAGCTGACCTCAAGTTTCTTGGAATTTTTGCGCAACGTAAACTGTTATCAGAATGCTGGGAAACCACTATTGAAAACCGAAAGAAAAGTTACTGAAATGTGGGCAAATCTTGGCAGATCATTACTCTTTTAATTGGAGACGGGGACGGCTCTGCAAGTTAGACATTTGTGCCTGTGATTAGTTAAAAATTTTTTTTGCTCACTTCACTCCCGGGGTTACTGGAACACTAGATAAATGACTAACCATGTGCCTTGACACCGAACTTCATTACTACACGTATGTGCCTCAAAAGGAGTGCAAGGCGGGATATAAAAAACTGAAGAATATCAATGTACTTCTGCAAACGACAACTAAAGCATCATTTTATTAATAACTTGAGTTATTATAATGGCGTGTTTGCATATAATGATAACTTGAAAACTGATAGCTGCACTTTAAATGTCCACTGAAGGCAATCTAAACCACGTGCCACAGGCTCGTTTTCTGCTGATATTGACATTTATTTTTATTTAGCAAATGCTTCTGTCCAAAGTGACGCACGAGTGAAGCAACTGGCTTTGTGTCGTGCAGCTATGCGGAACTTTCACGCTTAATCAGTATTTCAGTAAGAGCTAGATTTAATTAGTTTCACTAGACATGCTTAATATATATTTGACGAGTTATAAAATATTACAATAGACAGATTACATAAAGTGACAGTGAGATGGAAAAACCCAAAGTTAATGTGAGCAAAAGAGATGACGTCTTTCACGAGAGAATATCTTGATATGCAGTAAGATTTCTACTATTAAAGACGGGTAGTACATCTGACAAGCTGTGCTGTCATGGAAAAATCCACAGATGACAAGTGTGCTTATGTTTAGTGTATTTCATGTTTAGTGTATTTCATGAATGATTTAACAGTATTTTTCATCTAGTTGATATTGTTGCCAAGATTCTTCTACATGTCAAACATTGAATGAGAATAAGCGGCAATTCATTTGTCATCTGTGATTATTGTAACAATAGAATAATCACATAGCTTGCCGGGCTGGTCTTATGTACAATGTCTCCACAGAGGACTTAAGATCTAAGAAGATTTAGGAGAACTACATAGCCATAGAATGTCCAAGGGTGATGTTAAACCCACATGTTCCACAAAAGCACCATCTCTGTATAGTAAAGTTAGCATTCTTAGAACCTTCAGAAGTTCCCAGAATTTTACAAAGTGAAAATCTCACAAAAACATGATATAATGCTTAGAGACTGTATGAGTCATAACACCACAAATAAGTCCTATATAAGAGGTTTCTTGTAAGAATAAAGAGGAACTTCTTCATTTCCTTTTCTTCTTAACTGTCCTGTAACAGGTGTTGCTTAAGGCATCGTGTCAGTTATTTTTTACACAAAGGGATTTAGTAATACATGTCATATCCAACAGCAAATGGAATTTCAACCAATATCGAGTATTACTGGTCAAAGCCAGCTCTGCCAATTCTGTGCTTTTCCTTGAGTGGTTCAATAGTTTGCAATGGTCCCGTATGTCTGTTAAGACCCGTTGAACATTTCAGGGTACTTATTCATTCAGCGTTAGAAGATGTTTAACAATCAATGGCACACACATCCCTCACGCCATAAACAAATGATTGCTGGGACTGTCAGCGTAAGGATGAGCCGCCTTAAGGCCGCAGCCAATGCTAAACTTCATTGGAGAGTTGGGAGGAGGAGATAGAGAGACATACCAGTGAACTTCATGAATATCCTCCCCCCCATGCAGCCAGCCAGTCTTTAAAGGCTTCAATCTCTCAGTGGACTCAGTTGTTCATGATGGAGCTCAGTGGAGCAACTGCAGGTAGCCAGAACCAGGGGCTCCCCAACCCTGTCTTTGAGATGCAGGTAAGAGAAACAAGGATTCTGTGGATCTATCTCTTATTAGTACTGTTCTTCACTTACATTACTTTAATTACATTAATTACATTATTATTTGATTTATCTTGGCATGCGCCTATTGTTCTGACTGACCTTTCAACACAGAAACTGAAAAGATGCAGTGACTGTCATTGGCCTCTTTAGGATTTAATGTACATTTATTGTGTGTTTAAAGTACAGAAAATATTCACTCAAAAACATCCACCTTTCAATTAACATATGTGAGTCAGTCCTAAATCTCTGGAGTCTGAGGCCTCTCAGTCACATTTGAGGTAGTCTGACATGCCTTGATATTTCTATATACTTCACCTGTCTAAAGAAACATTCATCCGTAAGTGTTACATATGCTTTTATTTAGCACAAACTCAGCACCAATAATCTAAGACCATTTAGAATGTCATTAATCTATTTTTTGTTTAAATCAGTGTTGGCCAATCTTATCCATAAAGGGCAGGTGTGTATGCGGGTTTTCGCTGCAACTCCCTAATTAGATTACTAATTAGAGGACTGATTGGCTGAAGAGTCTTCACACCTGGGTTTGAACATCTGACCTACAGGTTATCCCAAAAACCTGCATACACACCGGCCCTTTGCCGGTAAGATTGGCCACCCCTGGTTTAAATCAACCACAAACCGCAAGGTTCTTTAAGCATTGTACATGTCAGTTCCCATTAATACATCTCCCTAACCTTTGAAATGACGACTGGATTCCTGTTCGTGGCACCTCGCAGTTTCCTCAGAATGCCCGTGTGACCACAGTGCAGGCCCACATTTGAAGGCTCATTGTTCAGTTGTGGCCATGTTCCATAAAATGTTGAGATTCATCTCCATCTAGCTATGGGCTCTAATATTGCGTACGAACCTTTTAGCAAGAACCAAAAAGAAGTAGGAGTGTAGGACAAGTAGGTATTGCTTGGGAGTGTAAGTGTGCATTTTCATTTCCAAAGGACATGGTTTCTGTGGATATGGAAATGAATGTGAGATCCACCACTGGAGAAGGACTGGATGAAACAACTAGAAAACCCTACCAAAGGTCTCAGCTGAAATCAGCATCACATCCAATATTGACACTAATAATTTACCTGACTGCACTTTATTGTTAAGTTAATTTATTTATTCTCAGTTTTCGCCTTACGATTTGACCTAATCGTTCTCACTGAGAATAAATAAATAAATATAAATTTCATAAATACGTATATATATTTATTTTCAGTGATATTTCACTTAGCATTTCACTGCATCCCATTAATAAAGTGGAGTCAGGTAAATTTATTTTCTTTCTTTCATGAATGTGTTAATTTGTTAGATTATTAGAGAATAACCACTGTGTTTCTGATTGTGAGTGACTGGGATTAAGGAGATACGGTTTGTTTCAGGATCTTGGAGGAGAAAGTCGAGTTCATCTCCAGGCACTTTGAGAAACACCAGAAAAAGTTCTGGTTGGTCTGTAAAATTCTTTTCATGGCAGGTAAAATTGAATTATGGAAATTTATTTTTTGTGAAAGTTTGATGGTGTGGGAATGAATGCCGATATTTTCCCATGTGGTATAATGTGTATTTTCATTCCTTTATATACATTTCATTAGCAGTTATTTTATTTGTGTTATATGAACAGGAGAATCCACCTCGACTGAAGTGACAAGCAGATTAGTGCATAACAGTCTGGCAAAAAATATTTATTTTTTATACTGCAAGCTCACCTTCACCTAGCTGTACTGATCCCAAACACTGACAGAGCGTTACACTTAGGCCTGCCTAATACATAGAAATGGGCTGTGCTATGATTTTAAAGAATCGGCTGTAGTTGTGATCCTGATTTGTGTTCCTGCCTGTATATTAGGCTGCGTCGCTGTAGTGATTGCGGCGTGTGTAGTGAATTTCCAGCGAGCGCTGCCTCTCCTCGTCGTCACGCTGGCAGCCATCTCCTTTCTGCTGTGGGACTGGCTGATGCAGCGCTACCAGCATCACATTCAGTACTTTCTAGCACAGGTGGAGAAAGTGATGGCAAAGCAGATGTTCTGTCTGAAATGGTGAGAACGTGCCGCCCTGCCGCTGCCTTCTCTGCCTTTAACAAGGGTCACTTCAAAATAGGGACAGCAATAACCATGAGGAAAAAATTTGCCCAAAAATGTCCCCAGAAAGATTTCACCTATTTTTTTTTTTATTATTCATATCCTTAAAGTAATAATAATCTCAGTTGAAATGCAGTTCATTTTAATACATTTTTAACTTTCAGTCAGACTTCAGTTGTTTGTAGAGGGGTTCATGCAACATGTGCAAGTACTCTCTCTTAAACATACTAACCATTACCTTACAGTGAATGCAAAAGAAAACACAGGCTATGCCGTGTTCTATGAATTAGTAGGGGTAACATTAGTACTGTATACTGTACTGTAAAAGTGCTAGTGTGACAAATATCCGTAAGGCAATACTGTATTACTCTATTTTTACATCAAACATTTGTCTTTTTTAAAGGTAACTTTTAAATGAAATTAAAGTGTTTTGGGAGCATGACTGGGGTCATATTTAGGGTTTAAACTATAGAAATAAGCACATATTACCATTTTTAGTCACTCTACCAAACATCCGCGAATCCTCCTCATTCGTGATGGGTTCTGAAACCTAACCTCGCGAATGTCCAAGGTCTGACTGTATACAGAATACCTTTGTATAAAACTGGATGTTTAATGTGAGGGTTTACACTGCGTTCCAAATTATTATGCACAACAGAGTTTCCAAACTTTTCATTTTTATAAAGAACAAAAAATGGTCATTTGTGAAATTATAAGCATTAGCAGGTTATTACAAACTGAAAGGTAACTGAAATCAAACAGTATTCAAGTCAAAACTTTATTATAGGTGATGTTACATTTGCACATAGGACCCCTTGTTCGAAAGGAGCTTCTGAACTCTCCCATCCATTGAATTTGTCAGGTTTTGGATGGTATCTGCTTCAATTGTTTTGCATGAGGACAGAATAGCCTCCCAGAGCTGTTGCTTAGATGTGAACTGCCTCCCGCCATCATAGGTACTCCTTTTGATGATGCTCCAGAGGTTCTCAATAGGGTTGAGGTCAGGGGAGGATGGGGGCCACACCATAAGTTTGTCCCCTTTTATGCCCATAGCAGCCAGAGATACAGATGTGTTCTTTGCAGCACGAGACGGTGCATTATCATGCATGAAAATGATCTTGCTGCGGAATGCACGGTTCTTCTTTTTGAACCATGGGAGGAAGTGCGCTTTGAGAAACTCCACATACTTTATGGATGTCATTTTTACCCCGTCAGCGATCCTAAAGGGGCCGACAATCTCTCTCCCCATGATTCCAGCCCAAAACATTACTCCACCTCCTCCTTGTTGGCGCCGTAGCCTTGTTTGCATGGGGTGGCCATCAACCAGCCATCCACCACTCCATCCATCTGGACCATCGAGGGTTGCACGGCACTCATCGGTGAACAAAACAGTTTTGAAGTCAGTCTTCATGTATTGTTTGGCCCACTGGAGCCGTTTCTGCTTGTGTGCAGTGGATAGGGGAGGTCCAAAGGATGGCTTACACACAGCTGCAAACCTCTGGAGGACCCTGCATCTTGTTGTTCGGGGCGCGTTGGAGGCATCAGCAGCTTCAAAAACTTGTCTGCTGCTAAGACAAGGCATTTTTGCAGCTGCTCTTTTAACCCGATGTAATTGCCTGTTGGAAAGAGTCCTTGATTTTCCCTTATCAGCACGCACACGTGTGTGCTCTGGATCAGCTACATACTTCTTGATTGTGCGATGATCGCGATGAAGTGTCTTGGCAATGTTGATTGTTGTCATGCCCTGACCTAAACACTCAACAATTTGTTGCTTCTCAGCAGCCGACAGGTCCTTTTTCTTTCCCATTTTGGTTGGAAATGTAGGCTGCTTAATAATGTGGGACAGCCTTCTTAAGTAGTTTTGCCTTTAATTGGACACACCTGCCAAACTAATTAGCACAGGTGTCTGCAATTGCTTTCAGTGATATAAAGAGCCCCAACACACATCACCATCCATGAGTTCAACTGACAAACAAAAAAATTCTTACCTTATCACTCCTGAACACTTTTTGCATAATAATTTGGAACGCAGTGCATATCACATTGTATATTCATATATTTAAAAAAACCCAATTTAGTTATTTATTCTTCCATACGTATATAGCGCTGCAGAACTTTTTGCACTGTTTGTTTATTGTTTGTCGTGTCTACATGTTTGCACTGAAGGTGCTGCTCTTAATCTCATTATACATGTGTATAGTGACAATAAAAAGGCATTCATTCATTCATTCATTCATTCATTCATTCATTTGTATTTTAATCGGGGGTGTAGGTGGGGCATGGATGCCCTGGCAGATTCAGGGGTCTCAGAGTTGTATAGTCCCCCCCTGCTCAGCTATATATACTGAGGGGATCTGCCCCCCCCATAAGGTGACATTTCATGAGGGGGCCTGGAATTCATAGCTACATCCCTGGTTGTAAGGTGAAAAATGGTTCATGTGAAGGCGGCTGCCTGTCTTTTCACAGTGTGGTGTATGCCGTCCTGTTGGGGGCGCTGGTGAGCTGGCTGGTACTGGATACAGCCAGAAATGGCTCGCAGCAGCTAGTCTCCTTTGCTGGCCTGCTTATTTTCTCACTGGTGACAGTGCTCTTCTCCAAGTATCCCTTTAGGGTATGTTGTTCAATTAAAGGCACGTTGCACATTATCCATAGCATTGTCTGCAGGGTGACCGATGCAGTTTTGAAGGACTACATGTGTAAATCTGTGAATGAAGTCTGATCCCCTGTAGTTTATAACATAGTCATTAAATAAACTTAATAATGGGCTGATTTATAACGTTGTAACATCAATACATAACTGATGTGACTATTCGTGCAGATTTCCTGGAGGACCTTGCTATGGGGCATTGGCCTACAGTTTCTGTTTGGCCTCTTAATTCTCAGAACTAGGGCTGGATACCTTGCCACGGACTGGCTTGGGAAGCAGGTGGAGGTGAGACCAAAGAGGCTTTATTGCATTGCTGTAGCATCGTGCTGGACATTGTAAATAAACCTTGCGGGTCACATTCTTACAAGGCAGGAGAAACAATATGAAATCTCCTGTGATTTGTGCTGAAATATTAACCCGTTTTCATTTTTGTGATGACCTCTGATCTTGCCCCCTAAAGGTGTTCCTGGCGTACACAGATGCTGGCTCAGAGTTTGTTTTTGGTAAAACGTTCAAAGAGCACTTCTTTGCATTTAAGGTAATCATTGAGGGCGAGCGATTCCAGTGACCGCTAAGCCTGGACTGTGGGGCTTTCCGCACTGAGGCTGTGCTGATGGTTCCTGATTCTTGCAGGTCCTGCCCATCGTGGTTTTCTTCAGCACCGTCATCTCCATGCTGTACTACATAGGCTTCATGCAGTGGCTTATCCTGAAGGTGACATCTCCCACCAACACCTCCCTTCTCACTGAATTGATGATTTACTTCAGGTCTAGTCAATTAGTGACCTCATAGTTCATTTTTACTTGCTAATTCATGAGCTTGTGCCAACTGATTAAAAGAAAAATTATTTCCCGTTATCATTTTTCAAGGACCTTATTGGGTCCGTATGATGCATCAACTATTTCAGTTTATCCCACCCCATCAGTAATCCTAGCCAATTATAATTAGTCACTGAAAACATAGATGCCACTAGCTGTCCAAGTCCTGCTTTTATGCTTCTTGAGAAAAAAGAACTGTGGCAGCTCAAGTGGTATCATTTTTATCAATTTGGCCTCGGCTTGGAACTAATTTGGTAGCCCTGCTTTCGAGGTGGAGTTTCCTGTTTTAATATCATTATACATGTGAATTGCTTTATAGGTGGGGTCCATCATGCTAGTTACCATGGGAACATCCCCCGCTGAGTCCATGGTTGCAGCAGGAAATATATTTGTAGGACAGGTGAGATTTTGTATAGCTATTGTAGATAATACACCCTATTGGTGGAATAAAATGTCTGTGAAAAACGTTTTTTTAGCTGGATTCTTTACACAAATATAAAATTTCTTTCAGATTCATAAAAATAAATGTGTTCTTCAGCGTTATTGGTGTCTCTCTCCCCAGTCAGAAGCGCCACTCCTGATACGGCCGTATCTTTCCAAGCTCACAATTTCAGAGATACATGCAGTGATGGCTGGAGGCTTTGCCACTATAGCGGGCAGCGTCCTGGGGGCCTTCATATCATTTGGGGTGAGAACGTGTCCAGTCCTTCACACCAAGTAGCAAGATCAGGTGTTTTTCCCTGTAGTTTCCTTGAGTCAGACCAAGAAAAGGTCACTTTTTTTAACTGCTTGCCCCTGAATTTTTATACAGATCCAGGCCTCACACCTCTTAAATGCCTCCGTGATGTCGGCACCTGCCTCACTGGCAATCGCTAAGACTTTCTGGCCTGAAACAGACACACCCAGGATCACAGCTAAGAAGGGCTTCAAACTGGAGAAGGGGTATGTAGCAGCATCACGGCAGAGGCTACACTAGCAGCACACGAGCAGCACACGAGCAACACACGAGCAACATATGAGCAGCACACGAGCAGCATACAAGCAGCATGTGAGCAGCACATGAGCAGCACATGAGCAGCATGCAAGCAGCACATGAGCAGCATATGAGCAGCACACGAGCAGCACATGAGCAACACACGAGCAGCACACGAGCAGCATACAAGCAGCACGTAAGCAGCATACGAGCAGCATATGAGCAGCACACGAGCAGTACATGAGCAGCACACGAGCACAGAGCTACAGATGCTGCAGAGCAAAGAGCCATGGCAGCATATTAACACTACTCTCTCTTAATGATGTTGATCACAACACACCCAAGTAAAGCACCTTGGGGCACAAGGAGCTATATAACAATAAATTGAAATGAACTTAACTATATACAAATCGCAATAAAGAACAAATCTGAATGTTAAAGCTGTTTCTTAATTTATATGTTAAGGGTTTTTTATATATTCTGATTTTGTGCATGTAATTTAAAAATAATGCATATGCCGTATGTTTCTTTTAGACTTGGTTGGAGTTAAACACATTACAGTGTTAGACATTCATATATATCACTTGATGACTGTATTTTGCTATATGTGTTTTGACCATTGGACAGTTAGCTGAAATACAAAATAAAAAACTTCAGCCCTTATCATAAACTGTACTGGGTCACTGGACTCTGCTCGACTTTAGGGAAACTGGTAACCTGCTGGAAGCTGCCTCTCACGGTGCTTCCACCTCGATCACCCTGGTGGCCAACATGGCTGTGAACCTCATCGCATTTCTAGCTCTCCTCAGCTTCCTCAACGCAGCTCTGTCCTGGATGGGAAACATGTTCGACTTCCCCCACCTGAGCTTCTCTGTAAGACCTCAAAACACACAGCCTACATAAACATCACATGCAGAAGGCTGCAGACGAAGACAGGCCAATCCCCAATGAGCTTTTCCATCACATGATCTTATGCTCTTATGATGAAATAACTATTACGGTTTCTGCAAAGTTTTAGGACTGATATTTTACAATTATGTTTATACCTCAGTCATGTGAAAAAGAAGGTTTTACATATCAGGACATAATGAAAAATCATCTGGTCCTTAGCAGGTAAATACAACCTCAGATGAACAACGACATATTACATGTCATTATTTATTTAACAAAAATTAAGCCAAAATGCAGAACCAGTATGTGGAAAATTAAGAACTGTTTCCATAGGAATTAAGAGGGTAAATAGCAGTCAGATTCTGCTAATCAAATACACTTTATTAATTGATCTCTAGAAAGTGTAACCACCTCTATGAAAGCAGAAGTTTTGGCAGTTTGCTGGTCTGGAGCAGGTGTGTGTTACCACAATGCCAAGGAGGAAAGACATCAGCAATGATCTTATAGAAGCAATTGTTGCTGTCCATCAATTTGGGGAGGGTTATAAGGACATTTCCAAACAGTTTGAAGTCCATCATTCTATAGTGAGTAAGATTATTCACAAGTGGAAAACATTCAAGTTCTCAGGAGTGGACATCCCAGCAAATACACCCAAAAAACCCAAGAGCTACATCTCGGCCTCTACAGGCCTTAGTTAGCATGTTAAATGTTAAAGTTCATGACAGTACAATTGGAAAAAGACTGAAGAAGTGTGGCTTGTTTGGAAGGGCTGCAAGGAGAAAGCCTCTGCAAGAAGGACATGGCAGCTCGGCTTGGGTTTGCAAAGTTGAACAAACCACAAGACGTCTGGAACAATGTCCTTTGGCCAGATGAGGCCAAATTGAAGATGTTTCGCCAAAATGCAATGTTGCAATGGCCCAAAGTCCAGACCGCAACTTAACTGAAATGCTGTGGCAGGACCTTAACAGAGCTGTGCATAAATGAATGCCCGCAAATCTCAATGAACTGAGGCAGCACTGTAAAGATGAGCAGGACAAAGTTCCCATACAACAGTGTGAGAGATTGATAAAGTCATACAGAAAATGATTACTTCACGTTATTGCTGCTAAAGGTGGTTCTACAAGCTATTGAATCACGGGGTGTACTTAGTTTTTCACACATGGCTTCTCCATATCGGCTTTATTTTTGTTACATAAATAATGACACTATGGAATCCGTTGTGTGTTGTTTTACACCTGAGATTAGATTTAAATAATTTTAGAACCTTCTACAGATCAGATTACTTTTTTTATTATGTCTTCATACATAAAACCATAGAACTGAAAGGGGGTGCACTTTCTTTAGCACTACTGTACATTCCTCACCTGTTAGTGAAGGAAATTACCGTTAAATACTTATTTTTAAATTTCACCTTTTTCTGTGTCATTTTGGAACCGATTTCCAACAAAAAAAAAATCACGATTCAGAAACATTTAAAGATAACTTTGAGCGAAAATACAGATGATGTAATTATCTTTCTTTCCCTGTTCTCTTTTCTTATTCACCACAACATAGCTGATCTGCTCCTATATGTTCATGCCGTTTGCATTCCTGATGGGCGTGGCTCAGGAAGATACCTTCATGGTGGGCGAGCTGATTGGATACAAAACATTTTTCAATGAATTTGTAGCCTATGAGAGGCTTTCAGTGCTCATCAAAAAGAGGCTTGAGGGAGGACCCGAATATGTGGATGGTGTCAAGCAGTTCCTCTCTGTAAGTTGCTGGGACCTTACACTGATGGATTGCTTAGTCCAGTGTTTCCCAATCCAGTCCTCAGGGACCCCAAATACTTCACATTTTGCTCCCTCCCAACTCTCAACACACCCATACCAGGTAGTCGGTGTTCTAGATTGGCTGCATGCTGGAAGGGAGCAAAAATGTGGACTGTCTGGGGTCTCTGAGGATTGGATTGGGAAACACTGTCTTAGTCGATACATAAATCCAAAATGGGGGGGGGGGGCTAGGAAAGGTGTTGCTACCCCACCCCACACTCTGATGTTTGTGCAATGCGAAGAATTTATCACTACATCGAGATCGGCTATTCATTGGATATAGACTGGCTTGGACTGAATAATCTTTCTTGGATCTCCAAGGTGCACTCTGAAACCATAGCAACGTATGCACTCTGTGGCTTTGCCAACATTGGATCACTTGGGGTGATCATAGGAGGCTTGTGTAAGTACCGCCCACATGGAATGTCAACATCTACAGTATGTGAAATGGCACTCAGAGTAATTACAGTTCCAGAGATGCATTAGGAACATACTTTACTGGCCAGCTTAATTTGGACCTGTTAATTTCCGTGTTTTCAAATGGAATTTTCATGGCATTTTCAGTTAATGTCAGAAAACAGTTAATGTCAATGAACATTCATTGTGATGGAAGAGCATGAGTTGTTCTAACATGAAGGACAGCTTCGTTCCTGTATCCACTGTAGACCCAGATACGTAACATTATCAAGCAAATGCAAGTGCTCTTCTACATGATTGTTGTAATGTCAATGTAATATACCCTGGTGACTTCAATCTGCTGCTTCAATCTGCAGCGGCCATGGCACCTGAACGCAGGGGTGACATCTCCAGATGTGCGATCAGGGCTCTTATCTCCGGGACGATGGCCTGCTTCATGACGGCTTGCGTGGCAGGTTTGTGCGTTGTAAGGTTTTGGATGGTGGGATGATGGTGTAGTGGTGAGGAGTCCTGTGTGGGAGCCTGGGCACATGTGTGTGGGACAGACCTGTATGTCTTTGTACATGGCAAACAGGGAGTGAAGCATGTGATGGACTAGCATCCCGTTCAGGGTGTAACTCAGCCCTGTACCCTACGCTGCTCGGGACAGGCTGTAACCCCCCAAAAGCATGATTAGAAGATGGATGGATGGATGGATGGATAGATATTGGGAGCAAAGTGGGGTATGTGCATGGATTATACTGTGCATGTGACAGAAAGACTTTGAGACCATGTGATTTTGTGAGTTTGGATTAAAGCCGATCGGATGCTTTCCAGTAAATATGGATGACACAGTCATTTACAGAGCTTGTTTTCATTCAGATGGCTGAAGTGGTTAATGATTGTGGCTTATTACAGGAATCCTGTACGTACCAGAACCACAATGTTATCATTATTTAGAATACGAGCACCTCTCTGCAATGACTAATAGCACAGAGCTGTTGACCTGCTGCTTGGATCTCTATGCCAGGTACAGACCACATCCATTCACCCAGCGACAGCTCAATTCATTTCTGCTGTAATATAGAGCATCATTTAACAAAATGACATTTGGCCAGTGATCAGACATTAAAGTCTCATGCACAGTGAGCACACAGAATAAGTTAATGCCTCTTTTGTTTGTCAGTTACATTATTACAGTTTGTCTGTTCCTGTTTTGGTGAAAAAAAGACCAGAAGAAAAAAGTTTATAATAAAACAGACAATATAATATCAGGGATATTGATTTACATTTCACTTGACTTAAGCTTGCAACTTGTAAAAAAACAAAGTTTAAATAATAGAACATATTTGTGCATGACTCTTCTCACCTGTATAGAATATCTAAATATCTAAAGACTGACATGTGACATGAAATCTAGATTCATCCTGTTGCTAAGCAGGTGTCTTAATTTCATTGAAAAACAGCTGATTATAATACAGTTATGGTATATTTGTAACCACCTAAAAGAGCAGAGGTCTGCTGGGGAAGTCATAAAGATGTCCTGAGGGAGAGTAGATGTTAGCAAGAGGTTTGTCACTGAAGACCACACCGCTCTGATGAAGCCTTCTTAATGTGCCAGAGTCACTGGGGTGATCCTGTCCAACATCACCACTGGCGGTGGCTACTCCATGAAAGCGCTGAGAAACTGCTGCTCTCTTCTGAACGCCACGTCGTTTGACTGTCAACGGATCCATTCCTGAGGGAGAGGTGAAGACCTCCCAACTTTGGCTCCCCCACTGAGCTCAGGGCGTGGCAGGGTCCATCAACCACGACAAATGAAGCACTTCACAGTGGAACAGCATAAAGCTTTTTGCTCTTTTCCAGTGCTGCCCTTCACGCAGTTTTCAGTTCTGGTATTCTTGCACTAGAAGTGAAATTCCTGGCCCTGCGCATCCGATCGGCCACTTTGCTGTTTACTGATGATAATCCATTAACACCCTAAGCTCCCTGCCTTTGTACTGGTCAGATGGGCTCCCCAAATGTTCAGTTCATTTTCTGACCACTTTCTAACCATGTTTGGGATACTGTGCTATCCCTGTAGAATGGAATAATATTTCAGTACTACTAAAACTGTATAACATTTACAGAACACAAAAGCCCTTTGCCTAATGCCCATACCCCCCTGCCCCCCCGACCCCCTCAGCGATTCCCCTTCCCCTCTCCTCTGCACCGTCCTCTGGCCTCTGCCTGCCACTGCATGTGCTCAGTGGCTCGTCCTCTCACGTTTCGTCCTGGCCGCCCTGCCACGGCTGCCTGTCTCTCGCCCATCCGTCTCACATGCCTGCTTTACTCACAGTGCACGTCGTGCATAACCTTGATCCATCACGTTTGTTTGCCTGTTATGTTTCCCAGTTTTTGGGTGGGATGGCAGTCAGTGTGCTCAGGCATTGTGAGGATTCCATTATTGTTGTTGCTTGGTATGTCTTGCTTGATTTTTTTCAGTTATATTTCTATTGATAACTATTATTTGATACAAAGTTGTTTCTTAGTCCTTGCTTAGACAGGCCATTATCTTAATCTTTTATGTATTTATGCTCTTATCAGCTGTTAGAACCATATGTTCTTTTATATTCAGCATAACAACATCTGCCAGGAAAATAAAAAAGAATGTCAATAATAAGTATCTCTGAATCCAAGGACTTGTTTTGTGACACATTCTTTTCCCAGTCTCACAAAAAAAATTATAAAAATTGGAACATATTTCTGCGTGGACATTACAAGGTGACCCTGAGACAGAAATGTAGAGTTCTGAAAACTTCGGGCAAAAGACACAGTCCTACTGGGCCCTTGGCCCACAACATAATATCATGCTTTGCTATTTACATCATACCAAGATTTACTATCTGTAACTGCCCAGGACCAGGACCAGGACCAGACACTTTCACACATCAAAAACATTCAGATACATTCCATCCATTTCTGTTACTCTAATTGCTATTACAGAATTGAATTGATACAAACTGCTAGTAATATTAATTTATATTATTAGTAAAACCATAAACACATAAATAATTGGGAGTCAAATAGTTGAATTGGTGATGGATTATACAGTCCATACAACTGCTCTTGTTAAATCATATTTTAATCATGACCATTCCTCTCCATGTCCAACAGGGGGCACTGTTGAGTGAGAATGTCACAGGTCTGGCCTCTGAGTTAATTTCTGAACTTTCATTATCCAACCACTTATTCTGGCCAGAGGTGGTGGGGGGTGCAAGGAGCCTATCCCAGGTGACAGAGTGCACAGTGCTAGGGTACGCCATGGATAGAATACCAGTCTATTGTACAATACATTCTCACACTCACACACTATGGGCAATTCAGAGAAGCCAATTAGGCTAACTGCACGACATTGGGAGGAAACCCATGTGACGGAGAGAGAACATCCAAACACCACCTACAGACACAGCGCTGAGGTGCCAAGTTAATATAAAAGCAGATTTAACAGGATGCAGTGTCTGTGATCGGAGATGCTTGTTATTCACTGACACAAAGCCTATGAGGGCAGAATGTGTCTCAGATGTTTGTAGCGGTGATTAAAACACCACATGCATATGTGAAGAAAAAAAAATCAGCAAGAAAACGCAGAAATAGATTCGCTGAATATATAATAAGTTGCAGATATAATGAGATTAATACACAAGACATGCTGAACGGGGGATTCTCTGTGCACCCTGCTGTATAGCCTTTATCCTTGCAGCATTTCTTCTGTATATGTAATATGTATGTTTATATATTATACTGCAATATTTTGTTTTGAAACAAGATTCTTAAAACTCTTAGTTTTTTGATGATCTTTTATCATACCAGAAAATTAAATCCCATTTGGAATCTACTACATCCTGTCTATCTCCCATATGAAGAGATTTTAAATCCGGGTTGTGCCTCTCTGTAGTCGCTTATGAAGACTTTTTTTTTTAAATCATGGAATGGGAACCTAATTAAAATTGAAGCACAATAATATAATTGCACTTTGCCTGGAGTGGCTGTTTTAGACTTCAGCAGTAAATGAAAATGAAGGCTGAATTTTTATATTTAATTAAATGACAGGGATGAGCCCATCAGAAATCTATTGTGCTTAAATAACTCGGCCTGCTCTGTGAAATTACACTGGGATGAGAATGTACCTGCTGAGCCCATGAGTGGCCGACGGAGGGCGGCTGGCTGACCAGTGCAAGAGAAGCCAAGGAGCGCCGCGGCAGGAAGCTTGGCGAGGCGACGCTCCGCCAGTCAGCCATTACACGGCAGTGTGTATATTCAGCTGACGCCATATGGGAAGCATGTTAAGCCTGAGCATAAGGTTCAGACATTAGCTACTGATCAAATTACCCTGTATCTACGTAGGTTCAAATCCTAACCATCCATATTTCACACAGAACGACATCGTGTATACATTTTGTTCATGATACGATTAATTAAATAGTTTAAAAATGTCTAAGCAGACAGTGGAAAAACACTGAGAATTTGCAAAGGGAATACATGGAACAAAACGGAAAACAACACATACTGCCTTTGATCAACCATTAAGCAAATCGGTAGAAATTTTAAATCGACGCTGCACGTTGCATGGAAGTGACCTTAGACTCATCTTCAGTATATTTAATACAACCTCAACACATAAGATGAAGTGCTGGATTCTTGTTAAATATTCTTTATAATGAACATAATACATTTCTAACTAATGTCAGAATACATAGTTGTATAATCCACTGGCCATGTCCATATTTTACTAAAGACCAGGAGCTGAATGCAGACAGCAGAAAAGGCAGATCAGAGTCCTTCTGATTCCTTGACTTATAGACACCGCATCTCTCTTTCTATGTCCTCTTCCGCAAGGGCTGTGTTTTTTTCTCCTTCGCGTACATTCTGCTTTCATGCATTGCAAACGAGCAGAACAGGTGCAATTTTCCGGAACCCACATGACCCAGGTCAGACTTGCTGGCCACTCCCCGCGTGCATAATATCGCGTGTTCCATGTTACACACAGATTGTATGTTCTCAGGCATCAAAACATTCAGGTTGCTCTGTTGTCATGGTAAACCATGGGGTTTTCATTTTTGAGGGTGCTTTGGCTTTACCTTCAGTATAGGTCATAAATCAGACATCTACGCTTAGTGGCCAGTTTATTAGGTACATCTGCTTGCTAATGCAAACAGCAGATCATTCGGCTGCAGCTGAATACATACGATATGCAGACAGGGTCAAGAGGTTCAGCATTATAATAGCTCGAGCGTATTATCCAAGCCATTCTGAACTTGGTGGTTGCAGCATCTCAGAAGCAGTCACCCTCCTGGCATTTTCATACACTACAGTGTCTAAAGGTTGCAGGGAATGGTGCAGTAAACAAAAAGCATCAGCAAGCGGTAGATTTGTGTGCGAAAATATCTTGTTAATGAGAGAAGTCAGAGGAGAATGGCCAGAATTGTTAAAGCTGCCAGGTAGGCAACAATTGCAAAAATAACAGCTCAGTGCAGAAAGCCTTCGCTGAATGTACAATTCGCCGAAACTCATAGTGCTTCTGGAGGCAAAAGTAGGTCCTACTCAGAACTATGTGTACTGAATAGAGTGGTCACAGAGTGGTGGCCCTGGAGGTGTGTCTTTGTGATCTGGCCATGTGGGTTTACACATTTAGCGTATCTGGCTTTCTCCTACTGGGAGTTTAATGTCATGTGCATTTGAAGAGCACTGTTAGAGTTCTCCTGGTCCTCAATTTTTTTTTTTTTTTAATGAACATCATTGTACTAAAAGGCCATTACCGGCTGAGATCAATGTAATTATTAGCTCTTGTTGTTATTATTTTATTTATTTATTTGTTATTCACTGAAATATGTTCAGCTAATGCTCTCCCCTAATACCTCACCCCTTTGTATCCATATAGAAATCAATTATTTCATCAACATGAAAATTGTTTGGTATAATGCATTACCCACCTATGAATGCAATGCTAAGAGGACATCAGTAATTCTGAGATTTCTTTCGTCCGCAATTTTAAATAATTCTGATTTATTACTCTACTTCTTCAAGACATGGGCATCTTGATTAATTGATGATTGAAGCCAAAGTCTTAATGAAATGAATTACCTACATTATTTTGAAGACCTCTTGAGTATGATTTCCAGAGAAGGAGACTGGTGCCCATTACAGTGGGAGTGCTTGCTTTTTACTACATTAGAGGAGAAGAAGAGAAAGAGGGACCTTAGCAGATGAGAGGAAGAGGACAGAAAGTACAGACAAAACCTTTCTCTCTTGGATAGATCGCACCTTCACAGTTGCTATGGTCTCCTCAAGTGTTTACATCCTTCTTTGCAAGTGAAACAGGAGCAGAGCATGTTAATTCACCTCTTTGCTCCTCAGGAAGTGCTGACACCTAGACTAACATTTGACCATCAAGGGAGGACAAGAGCACTTGGCATTATTTACATCCCTGAAGAAAAACAAGGATGACCATGCCAGCAGGGTCCTTCATATCCCAACTTATTCTTTCAAACTGAGACAAACATGTTGGACTAGATGCTTGATTTGTTATTCTGATATTGACTTGGGCTGTTTTCGAGTTGGGGTGCCGGCTAATTTCTTTCTTAGCACTTAGATACATATTCCAGCATGAATGCACAGAGTTGAGAGCACCAGGGTTTTCATGTATTCGATTCCGAGGAAACCAGTAGTAAGACAAAAAAGCATGCAGTTGAGATGACGATAGAGAGGGTTGCATGGCGTCTCAGTGGGTAGCACTGTTACCTCACACATTCAGACAGGGTCCCAGTCATGTCTCCCAGGGGGGCTTCCCTTGAATATTTCTCTAACCTCACACGTCCTCTTTTTCTGCCTCAGCTTAGGTCTCAAAACCTTACTATGCTCCCATGGCCTATTTTAGAGGTCATCTAAAAAAACCACCATCTGAGGTCTTGTTTTTTTGTTACTTGTGACCCCCTTTCTTAACTAGCCCAGTACGAGGTGAAAACTGCAAAACTGGCAACCCTGCTGCCTATTGACCTATTCTACTTGGGATAGGCTCCACCCCCAGCCCCCAGCCCCCCTCCCCATACTCTATACTGGATATGTGTTGCAGAAGATGGATGTGTGATCACAGAGAAGGAGGTGCCGTTATCTTCACAGAGACTTCGCTGACACAGCCTTGTATTATTATTTAAATATATATTTGAGTTTTCCTTACTTTTACTTACTACATTTTAAGGAGTACGTTTGGAGGTATTGATGGCCCTTTAAAACTAAGCAAATGAGGTTAACAAGGATTTCTTTGATTGTTCCAGCACGCACCTAGAAGCACTGCTTTTTTCAGACAGTTTCAGCCAGTAAAATTGCCACAGATACTGCTGAATTCCTTTCAAGACCATGCATTCCCCCAAAACATTGATTTATCCCTTGCATGAAGTACTATTAAAGACCTTCTGCCATCTTTGTAATCTGTAGGTTTAAGAGTATTGAGACCACCCTACCATCCACAGATTGATAGCCTTGTAGAACATTTTTGGTAATATGGTCTAACACAACAGTTAAGAACATAAGAGTTGAACATAACAGTTTAGCATAACAGTTAAACATGCCTTTTTAATATAACAGTTAGACGCATTATTATTATTATTATTATTATTAGTAGTA